TCAGAAACTCGAACAAATAGGCTTTAACAAGGCTTTAATAAGCTAAAGAATAGAGGTACATGAGAAAACGTGTTCATAACGAATGAAAATAAATAAATAATTAAATTGTGTCCTTGCCAGTCTCGATCCCTGGTCTCCAGCTCTCTGGTCCAACGCTCTACCAATTGCCCTATTGGAGGCTTGTTGTGAAATGAGCTGCGCACTGCACAACAACAACCGTGACAGCTTTTTATAGAGAGGAGGTGGAGTTTCACCTGGGGCATGCTAGGTAAGGGGCTGAACACAGGTTCCGGTGGGTTGTCGTATGGCTTGTGACTTCACAAAATGACGAAAGTATAAAACTTGTCGTTAATATACATTAAAAGTACATTTACTTACAGCAAATATGCCCCTGGATGCATTTTTTTGGTCCTAAGACTGTTTTTTTAAGAAGTACATATCCAAAGTTGAGTAAAATAAACTTTAAAAAGTGAATTTTGCATAATAGGTCCCCTTTAACTGGTTTTGTCAGTGAGTGCAGTTTATTTATTATGTAAGTTATAAATATCAAATGTATATTGTTAATACTTCTTTGTTACAGAAGATTAAAATAAAATTATGGGATCTCACACAGAGGAAAAGATAGATACGTTTTTTGTTTTTGAAAGTGTAAAACTAACTCACTGAGGGTGGACTGAAGGACATCATATCCTGAGAGGCAGCCAGCCTGCTGGAGAATCCTGCTGAGCCATCAGGCACCAGGTAGTTCAAAGGCTCCCTTTTTTTCAACAAGATCTTCAGTGGGAAATGGGAGAAAAAGAAAAGAAGCTCAGAGCTAAACCAATGCAGTTCTTAAAAGGAACCCCGATTAGTTGTAACATTAGACTTTATATGATAAACATACTTTAACTGTAAAATAAAGACTGTAAAAATACTGTAGGATGTTCAGTTTTTACAATTTTTAAACTAAAACTTTAAAAATATATTACACAGGCGGGGCCATTTTATTTACATGCAAAGCATTCTGGTTAAATGATGACATCAACTAGGTCATCGTTGCGAGGCTGCTAGCAAGCTATATCCAGCCTGAAGGTTAATCTTGGACAATATCTGACGTTCGGCTCTTTTAAATGAAACCAGGGAGCGTTGACAGAGAGGAAAGTAGGAAATGACTCAGCCTGCAACTGAAAATATAGATGGAGGACAACAGAGCTGCTTCATGGAAGAACCTCAGCTTAGCCAGTTAGCTTTAGCGTTAGCCCCGACGCCATCACCATATATATGTATTAGCTCAGCGCTACACATTCTCCTCTCATCACTGAGGTCCTCCATCCACATGACAGAGAGGGGAACGCAAAAATGACTCAGTCTGCAACTGAAAATATGGATGGAGGACCTCAGTTTAGCTTGTTTGTCATGCTAGCGCCGAGCTAATACATATAAGGCTATATAGCATGGGCGTTAGCGCAAAGGCTAACAGGCATAGGCACAAACAGTCAGGACCTGTCCCCCAACATGTAGGGCGGAGGAAGGCTACCCTCTTTTTTTTTTTTTTTTACCAGGGTGAACCCCAAAGGACAGGCACCAATATGGGGGGCAATAAGTATGCCCACTCCTGCTTGGCGCCTCTCAGCATGGGCAACTCCAGAGTGAAAGAGTGTCCAACCCCTCTGTAGAAGACTGGTTCCAGAGCGGTGCATCGAGTTGAGTCCGACTAGAACCCCTGGAAAAAGTATGGAATCACCAGCCTTGAATGAGCACTCATTCAGACATTTCATTCTGTAAAACAAACTCAGATCAAAAACATGATACAATAATTGGTCATTCCAAAGTGCAACTTGTTGGCTTTCAGGAACACTCAAAGAAATTAAGAGAAAACATTGTGAAAGTCAGTGAATGTTACTTTTATTGACCAAGCACAAGGGAAAAAAAATATATTCACTCAATTCTGAGGAAAAAATTATGGAATCACTCAAATTGGAGGTAGAAAATAAGAACACACCCAGTCAATTTCCTTTCCCTAAATGGACACCTGCCTCAAATTAGATCTGCTTGTTAGTCTGCAGTTAAAAAACACCTGCAGTCATTTCACCTTGGAGGGCTGCTGGACAAAGTGGAGTGGCAAGAACCATGGCTTCAACAAGAGAAATATCTCTTGAAACAAAAGAGGACTGTGAAACTTCTTGAAGAAGGTAACTCTTCACGCATGGTTGCTAAAGATTGTGGGCTGTTCACAGTCAGCTGTATTCAAGGTTGTATCCAAATACAAACAGCAAGGAATGGTTGTTAAAGCCAAGCGTAATGGTAGACCAAGAAAGACATCAAAGCGTCAAGACAAACAACTCATTTGTCTTGAAAACCAAAAAAGTACAACTAAACAGATGAAGCATAAATGGGAGGAAGCTGGAGCCAGTGTATGTGACCGAACCATAAGAAATAGCCTAAAGGAAATGGGATTTCAATACAGGAAAGCTAAAAGAAAAGCATCATTGACACCTAAACAAAAAAAAGAACAAGACTGCAATGGGCTAAGRAGAGGCAATCATGGACTGTGGATGACTGGATGAAAGTTATCTTCAGTGATGGGTCAAGAATCTGAATTGAACAAGGTGATGATGCTGGAACTTTTGTTTGGTGCCGTTCCAGTGAGATTTATGAAGAGGACTGCCTGAAGAAAACAACCAAATTTCCACAGTCCTTGATGATATGGGGCTGCATATATCTGGCAAAGGCACTGGGGAGATGACTGTGGTTAATTCTTCTATCAATGCACAAGTTTACATTGACATTTTGGACAGTTTTCTCATCCCTTCAATTGAACAGATGTTTGGAGGTGATGAAATAATTTTCCAAGATGACAATGCATCGTGCCTTGGGCAAAAACAGTGAAGGCATTCCTTGGAGAGAGACACATTCAATTGATGTCGTGACCTACAAATAGTCCAGATCTCAAACTCAATTGAAAACCTGTGGTGGAAATTGAAAAAAATGGTCCACAAGAAGGCTCCGACTTGCAAAGCTGATCTGGCAACTACTATCAAAAGTCCTTTTTCCACTACTGAGTCTGGCTCTGCTTGGCTCAGTTCGGGCCGGTTCGGAGCGGTTCTACTCGGGTCTAGTTGTTTAACTTTATGCCTAGGAGTGTGAGTAAATATGTTGATTTTTTCCTTATGGATTTAACTCAATGGAAAACAAACAGCAATGCTGATAGTATCTTTTTTTTCACAAAATAAAAGTCAGAAAATTTACAACTACATTTAAAAAAAACGCACAATTACCTAAAAAACTACTTCAAAGTCCAAACTTAACTGGAGCAGCTCCAGGAGCAGCTCCACACAGCTCTGTCTGCTTCGACACGGATAGCAAGGCAGATGGTACCGATAGGTGTAGGAGAAGGTGGAGAAACGGTCCAGGAGCTCAGCTGGTCACTTGTCGAAGGTGACTCTGAACAGAAAACCAACGATTAGCCTCGGATATGGTTAAAATTAATTACTAATTATAATAAATGTAGAGCTGGGGGTGTTGTTTTTAGCCTGGATCGCTAACTAGCGATAGCCGCTAGCTGCTAACTAGTTAGCATTGGAAACAAACATGCACAAAGGACACATCGGTACAAACTTTATAACTAAAAAGGTACAGTTTGACAAGCAAGACATGTGTCCCATAAATTACACTCAATATCTCACTAAATGCAAGAAGCACTCACCGACTGCAGATGGATTTTGTGAAGAGTCCTGTCTACAGTTAGCAGCAGCCAGAACGGTGGCTGTAAAGAGAGATCCCCTCCATTTACCCAAAGCAGCTCTAGTCCCACTGCTTTGAGCCACTCCAGTTGTTGGTTGTGGTCCTTCACTGCTCTGAAAACCGGCTCAATAAATTTTTATATTCTCCCAGTGCGCCGCCATCATTTGGAAAATAATAAACTACGTCATCCAGGCAGCTCCACTGGCCAGTCGTGACTTGCTACATGCTTCGGTACCTCCATGCCCCAAACGGTGCCGGCCTCAGCAATACCTCGAGGAGGTCTGAAAAAGTGGGCCGAAAGCAGGTGGGAGCCACAGTGGAAATTCAAAAAATGGGTGCAGAGTGGGGTGGAGCCAAACCGAACCGCATTGGTGGAAAAAGGACTAAAAAGAGCTGGCACCAAATTGATGAAGAATACTGTTTTTCACTCATCAAGTCCATGCCTCAGAGACTGCAAGCCATTATAAAAGCCAAAGCTGGTGCAACTTAAAGTGTAACTTACCCCCCCCGTGAAAAGATAACTCCGCCCTAAGGCGAAATTTGAAAAATGCATCAAAGTGGGTAGGGGAGGGGGTATGGCCAGGATGAGAGAACGTGACAGCTAGCATTAGCATAATTGATGCTACATGGAAAGTGACCACAGTATCGCAGACAGTTACATCTCTGAACGTCTGAGGTGGAGGATTTTCACCCCACACCAGCCTCGGACAGAGGAGGAGGAGCGCTCTGACAGCCTGACAGAAAAAAAGAAAAGCATACAGC